CATCTCCAAATTTTACAATAGTAAATGCTATTTCAATCGGTTCCAAATTTAAAATGTATGATTTTTCGATTTCTCGGTTATCGAGATTTTTGGATTATTCGCCTTTTCGAATTAAGGATTTTTTATGTTATAATGTTTTTTATTTTACAATTTATAATTTTTCGATTATGGGCTATTTCGATTTCTTGATTTTTCATATTTGATTTCCCGATGTTTCAATTTTTAAATTTTTCGTTGTTTCCATTTATCGATTTTGCGGTTTTTCGATTTTTCGGGTTTGCGATTTTCCAATTTGTTAATGTTTCAATTTTTCGTTTTCGAAATTTTTCGACATCTCAGTTTTTGGATTTTTGCAATTTTTAGATTCTTCAGTTTTTCGAGTTTTTACATTTCGATGTTTCAATTTTTCGAGTTCAGCTTTTTTTGATTTTTCAATTTTTCGACTTCGATTTCTCAATTTTTGAACGTTCCGATTTTGGGAATTTTGGAATTTTTCGATGTCTTAAATTTTAGATCTTTCGCGTTTTTGTTTTTCGATTGCTCGATTTTTCAGTTTTCCAATTTGTCAATTTTTCAGTTTTTCGATTTCTTGGTTTACCGAAGTTTCGACGTTTCGATCGTTCAATTTCCTGATTTTTTAATTTGTAGATTTTTTGATCTAAGAATTTTTGAAATTATTATTTTAATCCATCAATTTTTAATTTTTCAAGTTTGGATTGTTTCAATTCGTCAATCAAACGAATGATCTTATATTGAACAGAAACAAAATCAGTCGTTAGAATGACAAAAGGGAGGGTGGGCGGGGCTAGTACTTGCTAAGATAAGACTTATTTTGGCAAATGATATACTTTTCAGAAAATAGAGAGTGGATAAGCGGGGCTAGTAGTATTTGATAAGATAAGACTAATTTTGGCATTTTTGACATTTTCGACCATTTTTCAACTATACATATCTGAAAATTAGCGGAAGATATTTTCTTGTAGATTTCGATAACCAGAATCCAGCAATTTTTAGAGTTTCATCAAAACAGCTCTCTATAAAAATCTTGTAGGTAAAAAAGATATTGCTATTAATTTTTGTTCCATTATTCCATTAGTACTTTCCACTGCCACTCGACAGAAGAACAAATGGCAAATGATCTACTTTCTAAGAAAATAAAGGGCGGGTGGACGGGGCTAGTACTTGCTAAGAGAAAAATGATATTGGCAAATGGCACACTTTCGAAGAAAATAAACGGTGGATGGGTGGGGCCTATATTTGCCAAGATAAGACTGATTTTGCCAAGTGATATATCCTTTACCCTTCACTTTCTTAGAGAGTAGGTCATTTGCCAAAATCAGTTTTATCTTAACAGGTATTAGCCCCGCCCACCCACCCTCTCTTTTCTTAGAAGATGTCATTTGCCAAAAACAGTTTTCTCTTAGCAGGTACTAGCACCCACCCGCCCAACCTTTCTTTTCTTAGAAGATGTCAGTTGCCAAAATCAATTTTCTCTTAGCAGGTACTAGCCCCGCCCACCCGCCCCCTATTTTCTCAGAGGATATGTCTTTTGCCAAATTAGTTTTATCTTAGCAGGCACTTGCTTCACCCACCCACCCGGCCTCTCTTTTCTTAGATGTATGTCATTTGCCAAAATCATTTTTATCTCAGCAGCCACTAGCTCCGCCCACCCGCCCTCTATTTTCTCAGAGGATATATCTTTTGTCAAAATTAGTTTTATCTTAGCAGGTACTAGCCCCGCCCACCCGCCTTCTCTTTTCTTACAAGGTATGTGATTTGCCAAAATCGGTCTTATCTTAGCAGCTACTGGATCAATCGTTGTAAAAGTATTTTATGAATATCGTATACAAGTCGATGATAAACGTTGGTCAAATTTGTCTGATCATCCCTACCAGTAATTTGATGATGTCAGCACGTCACCTCAAAATTTTGCATAGTCATTAACTCATTATTTAAATTTTGTATCCTATTATCCTTGTTTGAAATGCTAATTGTATAGATGGAAAATTTGGTTTTTCTTTTCTTCGGGAAATCGTTTTTTCTTTTGATTGCCTTATTTTCTGATACGCGTCATTTATAAATGAACCTGATGTTGATCCACTGATTTCAGTGCTTTTTTTTCATTGTGACTTGCATTGTTTCTATTTTTTACTTATACGGATTATCATTAAATAAATAAAATTTTGCAAAATGAAATTTTATAATTTTTCGAAAAACTGGATTTGTTCGATTGGTTTTAAGGGGCAAGGTAAGTTCTGTCTAAATAACCTTAGACCCTTGGAGCAACTTTTTTACTTCTTTTTTAAGTCACGTTTTTGTAGTTTTTTGTTTTTGACATTTTTTGTCATTTTTAGTTTTTTCGTCACCTTTTTTCCTTTCTTTTTTGTGGTCTCTTTTTCATTTTATACTTTCCGAGAGTAAGCTAGGGAAGTATTGTAGTAGCGTCCATCCGGCAAATGGCCACTTTCATGTTTTCTCGATGTTTCATGTCCCCTAGACATGAAAAAATTGGTCTACCTGTGGTCTGTTGGCGATTTTCTTAGAAATAATCTCCGAAACTACTGCTTTTAAGTACTATTTTTGTTATATTTTATCGTCGTTTTTGTCGCTTTTGCCTCCCCTCAATTCTTTATAGCGTTTTTTACCTTTTTTCGTCTTTTTGTAGCTTCTTTGTCCCTTTTTGTTTGTCGTCTTCACATTTTTTACTTTTTTTTGGTTACATTTTTTGGCAATTATTTCTCTCCTTCAATTCTCTAATGCTTTTTCACCTTCGTTCTTCTTTTTTCTTTCTTGTTTTTTAATTGTTTTTCTTGTCTTTGCTGAAAGGTAGAAACGATCTTACAAAATTTTATAATGAAAAACTTAGAAACCTTTATTTGTAGTTAAAAAATCCACACTGTGGCGACCGAATTTGAATCAAAATTTCGCTCTGAAAGAAAATTAACAGCGGTGCGAAATCACATTTGAATAATTTGAATTTGAAAAAAAATTCAATCAAAAAAATTGTAAACATAGGCAACCATGTGCACGCTAACGCTTTTTGGGTAGTTGGTAGCTCGCTAGGGGATTTTACTTAGAGGGTTGGTTGGAGAAAAGATGGCGGCTTGGTATAATGGTGAAAGTGATATTGTTGGTTTGGTTCTGGATGTGACAGCATGGTAAAAAGACGCGATAAATGAGTAGGTTAAGTTTAGTTGGCTTGGTAGTTAATACAAGGGAGGAAACGTTTGTTTAACGACAATTAATGGTAACGATGACGACGCCAGTTTTCCCCAACACGCGCAGCTAATTCTTGCGTTGCATTGTTTGTAAATTCACAGTTTATGTTAGGATTTTAATCGTTAACTGGTGCTAACGCAATTTAACAGACATTAGATTTATTTAGATAAATCACTTACTAGAAGATTTCATGGAATTTACTTAGTCAGGATTCAGTCTTTTGTTTAACAAAGCTACGAATAACGTTATACATTATAACACTTCTTAATTCTTCACGCAAGATTGCTAATAGTTCATTTACGGCAGTTAAATTAACAAAATTCGTAATATCGTGGACTGAGGGACGGGGGAACTAAAGATTTCTCTCCTTATGCAGTTATCATCATTGTTATCATCGTATCATCATCTCACAATCTTAACCTCAGTAATTTTCTTTGTTGTATAATTTAAATTGAACGTAAATTTCCATGCTCTGCAGTTTTAAACTCACGTAATATTTTTATCTGCACAAGTTTACTTCACACCAGATCTTTTGTGTTTATAAATCTTTGTTAGTTTTTGATCATGTAAATATTTTGTTGATTAATGCTACATCATAAATTATCTGGTGTCCAATTTTAATCTCAAATAAGAATTATTTGTTGTTTAAAATTTCACAAGATTGTATGGCGAATTTGAATGTTGTTTATTGCCTTTTTTGAAACTTTGACATTTGTTTAGTTGTAGTTTAACATTTAGAGTTACAAGAATTGAGCATATACAATGTAATGGAGGTAAATAACACAATAACACTTGGCGGGAGCGGAGTGCGCGGTTCCTTTTCGAGCTGCCAGATTTAGAATAGGAGTTAGGGACGGTCGACATCAAGTGTACCATCATAACATTTTAAATATGTTGCCAATCTGACAATAAAAATCACAAAAATTAATAGTCAGATTAATTCTATAGTTGCGAAAATTAATTTTTTCATAAAAAAAACTACTAAATTGTATAAATGAATTAATAAAGTTCAATATTTGTGTTGATAATACAAAAATCGTAAAACGGGACGAAGAAATACATTAATTTCATTCTCCTCATAAACATGTAAACAGACGTTCTATACACTAAATGAAGTATCGATGATATGACACGGGTGACACTACAAAAATTACGCATATGTAAACAAAACTTCTAAATTTCAACAGTGTCAATTTTTTTTTATATCGAAGACAACGTGGAATGAAAATACTTTAATAAGAACACCAATAAAATTTCGCAGTCGAAGTATATTTTTTAGAATTTCTAAATTTTAAAACGTAAATGTCACGCCACTGGTGAGAGCGTCACTAACGACTTTGGTGACTCACATATTCTTCTCATAGTATTTTGACCCTTCATCCACTAACATGGCTGACGTTGCAATTTTTTTATAAAAACACTGCATATTTAAAAACACAAAATTGCTATCAACAAATGTGAAGCTACTTACGTTGACTAAATTATAAATGAACTTTTTTTTATTTCTTGCTCGTTTCAAAAATTTTTGAACAAGTAATCCTTTATGCTCTCGTTTTATTGCCCTCGGCAGCCGTCTCGACTACAAAGCTGTGATTGCTTGAAGGCATTATAAAAAGTTCTGTTTTATCAGTTTTAAGATTAAATGAAGTAACAGTCCATAAAAATGCTTTTAAAACATTGAAGACTCGTGCATCGTCTGAAATATAACGTTTTAATACATTGTAATGTATAAATTGATCCCTTCATTGGCAATAAAATATCAGACACAAAGAAACCACAGATTAACGTTGTATACTTTATTAAATACAATATTAAAGAGTGTTTTAATAAAATTGAGAGTTGGGAAAATCACGAGTATGAAATGTAAAAACTCTGGTAGTAAAAAATAAAAACAATGCATTCAATAACACCTTTCCCGTGAAAAGCGACACAATGCACAGTTTTCATAACGTCAAAAGTACAACTCACTCCGCATTACAAAACTAAAAAACATGGTTGTAAAAATAAAGCATACGTTTTTATAACAATATCTGTTCTTCAGCTATCTATGTACAGAGTAAACTCGAAAAGTGCCGGCCGGTGGCAGAAGCTAAGCATTTGGACCTAATTTAACTAAACATATCCCCCCTCTTAGGCTACTCTTTGTACACTAAACTTCGGTAAGCAAAGACCGAATTTAGTTTCTATCCCTGAGAAAACTGGTATAGACACCGAGTAACCACCAACATGATCCGGGTTCCGTGTCTTGGAAGCCTCTCCTCCCAGAGCTGTCACCTTCAATTCCGACCCGGCAGGACGCCTAAAACCCGAATTAGACCTCGTCACGACAAACTTTCACACTTACGTTCCGCCGAAATCAATATAGAGCAGCCTCTGGAGAATTTCGTACGTCAACAGGGTGACACCGAACTGGGGCGACGATCGGCAAACACGAGCTGGAAAAAATCACTTCATTGAATACTGAATTATTTTAGGTTTGTGGTTTACGCACCAATGGCACCCTTCCAGAAAGCCCGGAAGCCTTCCTCCGCGTATATTTTCCTCGTGGCGTCAAGTACGCCATTGTACGTCGTTTGACCGGTTCTCGCGACTACTTGTAACCTAGTTTTGATCACATCGGCTGGAGTTACCAGACCTGCTGCCGGCACGCCGGCGATGGCACCGGAAACTAGGAGGGATATGGGACTGTTGTAGCCGTTTTCGTCGGCGAATTTCGCTTTCGTGTGAGCGTACGTGGGGAAGTAAATGGCACTGAAAGGTATATCTCGCAACAAACAGGCTTTCGCGCCCTTATATAGCCCGAACAAGCCGAGTTCTTTCACCACCTCCCAGGCGCGGACTTTGGCTCCTCCGGCGATTTCGCCTGCTACTTGTAGCCGGATTTTGACTATTTCCAGGGGGTTGGTGAAGATGACTTGGGAAGCGCCGGCCTTGAAGTTGGAGAGTGACTTAAGTGGTTTTCGGTGGGTGTGTACTTACGGTTCCTCCGGAAATGATTTCGCCGAGGGGGGATATATTGCCGTTTTTGTCGTAGAATTTGTCGCGGACGAAGTCGTTCACCTGCAATTATAGACAAAAGGATGGTTAGTTTACTTAATGAGATGACTTAAGCTTGTGTTGTAATGAGTAAATACGGTGGGGCGGGGTTTAAAGAGTGACGCTGCAAGACAATGGACTGTCGTGATTTATTTCATTTAAAAAATATTGAAAAGCAAATATGGCAATAGTTACACAAAAAAAAAACTAGGTGGCAGATAAAGAATCCTTTGTTTTATTGTATTTTACGGTAAATTTGTCTGGGTTTTTTCGAAACAGAGGGTAATATTGTTGCTGAAAAAAATTGCTTTAACATAAACTCTATATTGAAATTTTGTAATAATTATGGAATAATTCGTTAAGTAATTGAAATTTCCGAATGAGGTAAAAGCTGAATTTAATGACGAGTTGAGAACCAAAACAAGACGTAAACGTGTTCTAGCGTTTACACAAGTTGGTTTCTCAAAAAATGAAGTGTTTCGTGATTTCAAACACTAGAAAAAATATAGAAAACGTCCAATTATTATTTTGACTTTTTTTTTAATTTTCAGGATTTACACCATGCTATCTCGCTTAAATAGATTTTGATTTAACTGACAATTACTCTGTCGACTAATTTGAACCTCCTGAACACGAATCAGGGATCAAAAGATGCCTCCTAAAACCGTTGATTTTTTTTTTAAATTTGAAATATTCGACGATTCTTAAAAATGACACCGTCTGATATTATTGTCCGTCGAATCCGAACGAATGTAGAAGTCGGTCCGAAAATCAACCCATATGACTAAAAAACTCCAAAAAATCGAATGGTGAAAACCGAAACACAGAGTCTTATGCAATTCCGGACTTATATATATTCAAATTTTAAATTCGGTTTTTGAGTTTCGGTTAAAGAAGGATTTCGTTTAAAATAGTGAAAATATTCAAAAACTGATGCCAAAAAAGACTCAGCGATGCGAAATTAATCTAGAAACTGAATTTCAGTCCAATTGGAAAATTTTATTTTGAATTAATTTTTTCGAATTTGTGAAATTTTCAGAATTTAGACCACGTCAAGGTAATATCACGCTTAAACAGACTCCGATTTGTCTGAAAATTGCTATCTTTATTAATTGGACTCTCCTAAACAATAATCAGGGTTCAAAACATGTCTCTGGGACTCTTTCATTTTTTTTTTTAATTTTTTAATGTTCCACACACCCGAAAACTGACATCGTCCGATATTTTTGTTCGTCGATTCTAAACGAAAGTAGAATCCGTGAATGGTGAAAACCGGAACCCGAAATCTTATGCCCTTCCGGACTTATGAGACGTCAAATTTTAAATTTGGTTTTTAAGAATGGATTAAACAAGGATTTCGTTTAAAATAGCGACAATTTTGAACGACTAATACCAAAAAACGGGCTCAGCGATACAAAAATAGTCTAGAAACCGAATTTGAGTCAAATCGGAAATTTTTGTTTTTACTTCATTTTTTCGAAAAAATCGTTTTGTGAAATTTTTAGGATTTAGACCAAGTCAAGCTATCTCCCTTAAACGAACCTCGATTTATCTGAAAATTACACTATTTACTAATGTGAACCCCCTGAACAAGAATCAAAACTCAAAACATGTCTTCGGGTCCTATTGATTTTTTTTTAATTTTTTAATATTCGACACTTCCGAAAAATGACACCGTCCGATATTTTTGTTCGTCGATTCTAAACGAAAGTAGAATTAGTCTAGAAACCCAATTTGAGTCAAATCGAAAATTTTTGTTGTCACTTCATTTTTTCGAAAGAATCGTTTTGTGAAATTTTTAGGATTTAGACCAACTCAAACTATCTCCCTTAAACCCCGATTTATCTGAAAATTACTCTCTTCACTAATCTGAACCTCCTGAACAATAATCAGAACTCAAAAAATGTCTCCGGGTCCTATTGATTTTTTTTTTATTTTTTAATATTCGACACTTCCGAAAAATGTGACCGTTCGATATTTTTGTTCGTCGATTCTAAACGACAGTAGAATCCGGACTGAAAATCAACCACTTCGACTAAAAAACATAAAGAAGTTGAATGGTGAAAACCGGAACCCGGAATCTTATGCCCTTCCGGACTTATGAGCCGTTAAACTTTAAATTTGGTTTATGAGAATGGATTACTAACAAAGATTTCGTTTAAAACAGCGACAATTTTAAACAACTAATACCAGAAACGGAGTCAGCGATGCAAAATTAGTCTAGAAACCGAATTTGAGTCAAATCGGAAATTTTTGTTTTCACTTCATTTTTTCGAAAGAATCGTTTTGTGAAATTTTCAAGATTTAGACCAAGTCGAGATATCTCCCTTAAACGAACCCCGATTTATCTAAATATTACTCTCTTCACTAATCTGAACCTCCTGAACAATAATCAGAACTCAAAAAATTTCTCCGGGTCCTTTTGATTTTTTTTTTTAATTTTTTAATATTCGACACTTCCGAAAAATGACACCGTCCGATATTTTTGTTCGTCGATACTAAACGAAAGTAGAATCCGGACTGAAAATCAATCAATGCGACCAAAAAACTCCAAAAAATCGAATGGTGGAAACCGAAACCCAGAATCTTATGCCCTTCTGGACTTATGAGCCGTCAAATTTTAGATTTGGTTTTTGAGAATGGATTAAACAAGGATTTCGTTTAAAATAGCAACAGTTTGGAACAACTAATACCAAAAACAGAGTCAGCGATGCAAAATTAGTCTAGAAACCAAATTTCAGTCAAATCGGAAGTTTTTGTTTTCACTTCATTTTTTCGAAGGAATCGTTTTGTGAAATTTTCAGGATTTAGACCAAGTCGAGATATCTCCCTTAAACGAACCCCGATTTATCTAAATATTTCTCTCTTCACTAATCTGAACCTCCTGAACAATAATCAGAACTCAAAAAATATCTCCGGGTCCTATTGATTTTTTTTTTATTTTTTAATATTCGACACTTCCGAAAAATGTCACCGTTCGATATTTTTGTTCGTCGATTCTAAACGACAGTAGAATCCGGACTGAAAATCAACCACTTCGACTAAAAAACATAAAGAAGTTGAATGGTGAAAACCGGAACCCGGAATCTTATGCCCTTCCGGATTTATGAGTCGTCAAGTTTTAAATTTGGTTTTTGAGAATGGATTAAACAAGAATTTCGTTTAAAATAGCGACAATTTTGAACAACTAATACCAGAAACGGAATCAGCGATGCAAAATTAATCTAGAAACCGAATTTGAGTCAAATCGAAAATTTTTGTTGTCACTTCATTTTTTCTAAATTTTCAAGATTTAGACCAAGTCAAGCTATCTCGCTTAAACGAACCTCGATTTATCTGAAAATTACTAGCTTTACTAATTTGAACCTCCTGAACAATAATCAAAACTCAAAAAATGTCTCCGGGTTCTTTTGATTTTTTTTTAATTTTTTAATATTACACACTTCCTAAAAATTACTTACACCGTCCGATATTTTTATTCGTCGATTCTAAACGAAAGTAGAATCCGGACTGAAAATCAACGAATGAGACTAAAAAACTTCAAGAAGTTGAATGGTGAAAACCGGAACCCGAAATCTTATGCCCTTCCGGACTTATGAGCCGTCAAATTTTAAATTTGGTTTTTGAGAAAAGATTAAATAAGGATTTCGTTTAAAATCGCGAAAATATTGAACAACTGATACCAGAAACGGAGTCAGCGATGCAAAATTAATCTAGAAACCGAATTTGAGTCAAATCGAAAATTTTTGTTGTCACTTCATTTTTTCTAAATTTTCAAGATTTAGACCAAGTCAAGCTATCTCCCTTAAACGAACCCCGATTTATCTGAAAATTACTCTCTTCACTAATCTGAACCTCCTGAACAATAATCAGAACTCAAAAAATGTCTCCGGGGTCTTTTCATTTTTTTTTAATTTTTTAATATTCGACACTTCCTAAAAATTACACCGTCCGATATTTTTATTCGTCGATTCTAAACAAAAGTAGAATCCGGACTGAAAATCAACCAATGAGACTAAAAAACTCCAGGAAGTTGAATGGTGAAAACCGGAACCCGGTCTCTTATTCCTTCCGGACTTATGAGCCGTCAAATTTTAAATTTGGTTTTTGAGAAAAGATTAAACAAGGATTTCGTTTAAAATCGCGAAAATATTGAACAACTAATACCAGAAACGGAGTCAGCGATGCACAATTAATCTAGAAACCGAATTTGAGTCAAATCGAAAATTTTTGTTGTCACTTCATTTTTTCTAAATTTTCAAGATTTAGACCAAGTCAAGCCATCTCGCTTAAACGAACGCCGATTTATCTGAAAATTACTACCTTTACTAATTTGAACCTCCTGAACAATAATCAGAACTCAAAAAATGTCTCCGGGTTCTTTCGATTTTTTTTTAATTTTTTAATATTAGACACTTCCTAAAAATTACACCGTCCGATATTTTTATTCGTCGATTCTAAACGAAAGTAGAATCCGGACTGAAAATCAACCAACGCGACTAAAAAACTTCAGGAAGTTGAATGGTGAAAACCGGAACCCGGAATCTAATTCCTTCCGGACTTATGAGCCGTCAAATTTTAAATTTGGTTTTTGAGAATAGATTAAACATGGATTTCGTTTAAAATAGCGAGAATATTGAACAACTAATACCAAAAACGGAGTCAGCGATGCAAAATTAATCTAGAAACCGAATTTGAATCAAATCGAAAATTTTTGTTGTCACTTCATTTTTTCTAAATTTTCAAGATTTAGACCAAGTCAAGCTATCTCGCTTAAACGAATCTCGATTTATCTGAAAATTACTACCTTTACTAATTTGAACCTCCTGAACAACAATCAGAACTCAAAAAATGTCTTCGGGTTCTTTTGATTTTTTTTTAATTTTTTAATATTCGACACTTCCGAAAAATGACACCGTTCGATATTTTTTGTTCGTCAATTCTAAACGAAAGTAGAATCCGGACTGAAAATCAACCAATGAGACTAAAAAACTTCAGGAAGTTGAATGGTGAAAACCGGAACCCGGAATTTTATTCCTTCCGGACTTATGAGCCGTCAAATTTTAAATTTGGTTTTTGAGAATAGATTAAACAAGGATTTCGTTTAAAATAGCCAAAATATTGAACAACTAATACCAGAAACGGAGTCAGCGATGCAAAATTAATCTAGAAACCGAATTTGAGTCAAATCGAAAATTTTTGTTGTCACTTCATTTTTTCTAAATTTTCAAAATTTAGACCAAGTCAAGCTATCTCGCTTAAACGAACCTCGATTTATATGAAAATTACTATCTTTACTAATTTGAACCTCTTGAACAATAATCAGAACTCAAAAAATGTCTCCGGGCTCTTTTAATTTTTTTTTAATTTTTTAATATTCGACACTTCCTAAAAATTACACCGTCCGATATTTTTATTCGTCGATTCTACACGAAAGTAGAATCCGGACTGAGAATTTTATGAGTTAAAGAAGAATTTCGTTTAAAATAGCGAAAATATTGAACAAACACTTTAACTAACCGTGAGCTTGATGGCCTTCTCCGGAGCGACGCCCATCAACTGAGGTACCAAACCCCTGTACAACCCAAACACACCCTCGTGCCTTATGACCTTCTTGAAACAATCAAAGCTATTTCTGTACATCAATTCACCAATGAAGGAACCAGTCCTCTGATTCTGCATTCGCGTTTTCACCAAATCAATGGGATAGACCGCAGTGGCACCAACCGCTAAACAAAAAAAAATAAACAATAACACAAATAAAAACAGCAGTGTCGGACTTACCGCCGGCTATCGAACCCAAAGTGAATCGATAAACGCTCTCCAAAATTTGAATAAAAATGCCTCTGTCTTCTGGGTTCTAATAAATCAAAATGAGAAAAAAATTAAAAGTGCAATGGGGTACTTACCGAAATGGCTCTGATCTCGGCCAATCGTGTGGTGATCTGTTTATAGTACTGCTCTGGTGCAATGGCGTTAAGGTCGTTATACACGATCCGCCTAAAAAACGCACTCTTGTAAAAACTGGCGCCCGATCGAAGGGTTAATAAGGAAGAGACACGAACCCGTCACACAAACCGTTCTCTTCGTTATTTAACTGTCTACTTTCCACAGCAGCACAGACAAGACAATACGTATTTTTAACTAAATATCCATCTCATAGTAATTAAATTTAAGTACTTACAATTCTGTTAAGCCAATTTTGTTACAGACAATTTAAATCTTAAATAGAATAAATATTACAAAGAGCATATGGATATTTACCCCGTTTGATGAAGTACATCACACAGCTGAAACAAAATGTCGACCTCCAGTGGCGTCATCTGCGACATGGCTTGAGCCGAGTGCATGAACTCCTCCTTGCTCACCTCCTGCGCTCGGTGGCCATTCGTCACGTTCAGGTAAATACGTTTGGCCAACTCCATGTTGTTTAACAACGAATTAAATGCAATGAAATACGGAAAGCTGACCCTACGACCGCTCTGGGACCCTTGGGCTGCCTAATTTTAATAACCGAAAAACATACGGGACCTTGAGTTTGTCCAAACTTTTATTCACAAGACATATATAATAAACCGAGTAGAAATGGCAAAATAATAACCTCGATTAGGTGGGACTGTACTTGCTTAGTGAGCAAATGGCTTTTGATGTTGGTCATTATGTACTGAAAGTCCAGAACGGATATGAAGCCGCTTCCTTCCTTATCCGCTCTTCGGAAGCCCTCGATGGCGTACTCCTCGTGGAAGTCGTGCAGGAACTGGCTGAACTCGCTGTAGGAAACGGTGCGTTTCTTGTCGCGACCGAAGTATAATTGCACGAAGGGTGAGTCCATGTCGAACGGAATTCGCTGGTGGAGGTCGGTTTTGCTCATTACCTCAACGAATTCCTCTGCAAAAATCCAATTAAGTGAAGCAGTAGTCGGACGGAAATGGGCGAAGTTCGCTAAGTATAAAATAATCACGGTGGCGAGGGAAATTGGTGAGAGGCAATTAAGTTTTGGTAAATTAAGCCCTACAATCAACTACTAAAATAATTTTATTATGATCAAAGTGATTCTCAATAATACTCGCAATTATGTCCGGAGAAAAAACTGCAACCATGTTTCTGCAGATACAATTATTGCCAAAAATCATTTTCAACTGAAATTATTTAAAGAACAATAATTTTTTCCAAACATCCCTCAAAAAATATTCTGAGATCTTCGTCTTTGGGTTTTATAAGAAAACCCAACAGAAAAGCCATTTTTCTTACTTTTTTATTCAAAAATTGGCAGAACTTGCGCGTTGTTTTTTTTTGTCAAAATTTCTGGATCCTATTATGTATTTTTAATAAGAAGCGGAAGAGATCGACTTTTCTTAGGTCAAATTAAAAATTCTCAATCTTTTATTCACTCAAAACTTTGCGAACTTACAGCAATTTAAAATCGCTGTAATTCTATAGATTACTAACTTTTTTTTTGAGAAGTTTCAGTTTCCTTTACACGTATCTACCAGATACGCAGATTCTTGCAGTGATCATAATATTAATGCAAAATTTAAAATTATTGCAACAAATAATCTACGGTGGAGGGAGTTTTTTTTAATTGATTGATATTTTGAGATGTTGCTTTTTTACAAAAAAAAAATTATTATACATTCACTCACGAGGTTTTACATTAAAAAAAAAACAGGTGGGACCCCCGAGATTTCACATTAAAAAAAAAAAAAAGAAATTTGGGGCACCCGGGAGGGTTTTACATTTTTACAAAAGACATCTGGGAGCCCCGAGATTTCACATGAAAAAAAAAGATATTTGGGGCCCCCGAGGTTTTACCCCGAGAAGATTTTACATTTTTAAAAAAGACAGTTGGGATCCCCAAGAAAGTTTTACATTTTTAAAAAGACAGTTGGGGCCCTCGAGAAAGTTTCACATTGTAAAAAAAATACATTTGGGGCCCCCGAGAAGGTTTTACATTTTTAAAAAAGACAGTTGGGACTCCCGAGAAGGTTTCACATTCTAAAAAAAAGATGTTTGTCTTTGGGGCCTACGGGAAGGCTTTACATTTTTAAAAAAGAGAGTTGGGAGCCCCGAGAAGGTTTCACATTCTAAAAAAACACATTGGGGCCCCGGAGAAGGTGTCACATTTTTAAAAAGACAGTTGGGACCCCCGAGAAGGTTTCACATTGTACAAAAAATACATTTGGGGTCCCCGAGAAGGTTTTACATTTTTAAGAAAGGCAGTTGGGAATCTCGGGAAGGTTTCACATTCTAAAAAAAAATACATTTGGGAACACCCGAGAAGGTTTTACATTGTAAAAAAAATACATTTAGGATCCTGGAGAAAGTTTCACATTTTTAAAAAGACAGTTGGGACCTCCGAGAAGGTTTCACATTGTAAAAAAAAACATTTGGGACACCCGAGAAGGTTTTACATTTAAAAAAAAAACAGTTGGAATTCCCGAGGAGGTTTTACATTTTTAAAAAAATACATTTGGGGCCCTGGAGAAGGTTTCACATTTTTAAAAAGACAGTTGGGACCTCCGAGAAGGTTTCACATTGTAAAAAAATACATTTGGGGCCCCAGAGAAAGTTTTACATTAAAAAAAAACAGTTTGAAACCCCCAGAAGATTTCACATTCTAAAAAAAAACTACATTTGGGGCCCCCAAGATGGTTTTACATTTTTAAAAAAGACAGTTGGGAACCCCGAGAAGTTTTCACATGCGAAAAAAAATACATTTGGGGACCCCGAGAAGGTTTTATATTTTTAAAAAAGACAGTTGAGAACCCCGAGAAGTTTTCACATTCTAAAAAAATTTTTTAGGGACCCGGAGAAGGTTTTATATTTTTAAATAAGACAATTGGGGACCCCGAGAAGTTTTCACATTCTAAAAAAAAATACAGTTGGGGCCCCCGAGAAGGTTTTACATTTTCAAAAAAGACAGTTGGGACCCCCGAGAAGGTTTCACATTCTAAAAAAAAGATATTTGTATTTGGGGCCCCGAGAAGGTTTTACATTTTTAAAAAAGACGGTTGGGAGCCCCGAGAAGGTTTCACATTCTAAAAAAAATACATTTGGGGCCCTGGAGAAGGTTTCACATTTTTAAAAAGACAGTTGGGACCTCCGAGAAGGTTTCACATTGTAAAAAAATACATTTGGGGCCCCCGAGAAGGTTTTACATTTTTAAAAGGACAGTTGGGACCCTCGAAAAGATTTCACATTCTAAAAAAAAATACATTTGAGGCCCCGGAGAAGGTTTTACATTTTTAAAAAGACAGTTGGGACCCCCGAGAAGTTTTCACATTCTAAAAAAATATATTTAGGGACCCGGAGAAGGTTTTATATTTTTAAATAAGACAATTGGGGACCCCGAGAAGTTTTCACATTCTAAAAAAAAATACAGTTGGGGCCCCCGAGAAGGTTTTACATTTTTAAAAAAGACAGTTGGGACCCCCGAGAACGTTTCACATTCTAAAAAAAAAGTAATTTGTATTTGGGGCCCCGAGAAGGTTTTACATTTTTAAAAAAGACGGTTGGGAGCCCCGAGAAGGTTTCACATTCTAAAAAGATACATTTGGGGCCCTGGAGAAGGTTTCACATTTTTAAAAAGACAGTTGGGACCTCCGAGAAGGTTTCACATTGTAAAAAAAATACATTTGGGGCCCCCGAGAAGGTTTTACATTTTTAAAAGGACAGTTGGGACCCTCGAAAAGGTTTCACATTCTAAAAAAAAATACATTTGAGGCCCCGGAGAAGGTTTTACATTTTTAAAAAGACAGTTGGGACCCCCGAGAAGGTTTCATATTGTAAAAAAAATACATTTGGGGCCCCGGAGAAGGTTTCACATTTTTAAAAAGACGGTTGGGACCCCCGAGGTTTCACATTGTAAAAAAATACATTTGGGGCCCCCGAGAAAGTTTTATATTTTTAAAAAAGACAGTTGGAATCCCCGAAAAGGTTTCACATTCTAATAAAAAAGATATTTGTATTTGGGGCCCCGAGAAGGTTTTACATTTTTAAAAAAGACGGTTGGGAGCCCCGAGAAGGTTTTACATTTTTAAAAAAGACAGTTGGGAGCCCCGAAAAGGTTTCACATTCTAAAAAAAAATACATTTGGGGCCCCACAGAAGGTTTTACATTAAAAAAAAAACAGTTTGGAACCCCGAGAAGGTTTCACATTCTAAAAAAAAACTACATTTGGAGCCCCCGAGAAGGTTTTACTTATATAAAAAAGACAGTTGGGAGCCCCGAGAAAGTTTCACATTCTAAAAAAAATACAGTTGGGCCCCCGAGAAGGTTTTATATTTTTAAAAAAGACAGTTGGGACCCCCGAGAAGGTTTCACATGCGAAAAAAATACATTTGGGGACCCCGGGAAGGTTTTATATTTTTAAAAAAGACAGTTGAGACCCCCGAGAAGGTTTCACATTCTAAAAAAAAAAGATATATGTATTTGGGGCCCCAAGAAGGTTTTACATTTTTAAAAAAGACGGTTGGGAGCCCCGAGAAGGTTTCACATTCTAAAAAAAATATAATTGGGGCCCCAGAGAAGGTTTTACATTTAAAAAAACTTTGGAACCCCGAGAAGGTTTCACATTCTAAAAAAAATACAGTTGGGCCCCCGAGAAGGTTTTACATTTTTAAAAAAGACAATTGGGACTCCCAAGAAGGTTTCACATTCTTAAAAAAAAGATACTTGGGACCCCCGAGAAGTTTTTACATTGTAAAAAACATACATTTGGGGCCCCGGAGAAGGTTTCACATTTTTAAAAAGACGGTTGGGACCCCCGAGAAGGTTTCACATTGTAAAAAAAATACATTTGGGGACCCCGAGAAGGTTTTATATTTTTAAAAAAGACAATTGGGACTCCCAAGAAGGTTTCACATTCTTAAAAAAAGATACTTGGGACCCCCGAGAAGGTTTAACTTATATAAAAAAGACAGTTGGGAGCCCCGAGAAGGTTTCACATTCTAAAAAAAATATATTTGGGGCCCCAGAGAAGGTTTTACATTTAAAAAAACTTTGGAACCCCGAGAAGGTTTCACATTCTAAAAAAAATACAGTTGGGCCCCCGAGAAGGTTTTACATTTTTAAAAAAAGATACTTGGGACCCCCGGTAAGGTTTTACTTATTTAAAAAAAAACAATTGGGAGCCCCGAGGTTTCACATTTTTAAAAAGACAGTTGGGGCCCCCGAGAAGGTTTTACATTTTTAAAAAAGACAATTGGGACGCCCGAGAAGATTTTGCATTTTTAAATAAAGGAGAGTGTATTCTCACTTTTTCGAACCAGTGGAGTAATTTCATCAATACAAAATTATTGTGACGTCATAAAAACAGATAATAAACAATGCGGGAGAAAAAGAAAAAAAAAAGGAAAAGAAACAGACACCAGACAGACAGACAGACACGGGGAACTACTTTTTTCGTAGTCTCGAATTCATAAAACGTCGAGAAAATTTAAAAGGGGCCATTGGTCAGATGGTCTCGATTACTATACTTCCTTAGTTTACGCTCGGGAACAAAAAATCTATAAAATGAATATACTTAATACCATAACCTCACTGTTGGCATCTTCAGAAAGGGCATGAACTTTTTGTTTTTAAATTTCATAATTTACATTTTTAAATGAATAACTGACGTTCAATTGAAAAATCATCGAAGTTGGCTTTTTTTATAGAAGAAAAACGCATGTGCTTTATTAAACCATACCGTTGATTGATATTTGATACGAGTTGTCGAAAAATGTTAATTTCATTATACAAAAAAGTGAGGTTAAGTTGTTGTTTTAGCACAGTCAAAGCCAACGTGATGACTTTTTTAATTGGATGCTCTGTGTTGTTTTTTTTGTGCCATATGGTCGAAAAAAGTCTTCGAGTAGAGAAGTTTAAATTTATTTTTAAAATAAGGATGTTGGCAATAGCAACGCATTCCGGTTCAGTTTGACAGCTACAGTGAAACAAGCAACAAATAAATTGTCAAATAGGTGCAATGCCAACACGTTATTTCAAAGATAAATTTTTTATCATTATGGTATTATCCATTCATGTTATATTTTTTCACGTTGGACAAACTGATTCGATGGTATATATTTTGTCTCTTATTAGACATTAATTTCTAGCTGATTTTTCTCGCTTTCTAGCAAGTTGTACACCACACTTGAAATAAATACGCAACCGACAAATACTTTGAAAAAATTGATATGCTTTCAACGTATGATTTGTTAAACTGGACATAAGGAGGCTCTGAATAAAAAAAAAAATTAAACTACGCCCTACGTCTTTTATATCTTTTGTTACCAGAGTCTCCCTTTATGTTAAATTTTAAAAAATCGTGCTTTAATTACAAACTACTATGATTAGTATTTTTTGTGATTTGAACAAAAAATAAATAAAATACTAACGTCTGTCATATACAGAATGTCTCAGCTAAAACTGGGCGGCCTAATATCTTGCAAACGGATGAAGATATTGAAACTATGTAAACGTCATTGTTTTTAGCTTAAAGACGGAAGCTTAAGCTTAATTTAGTGCAACTTGTCAAGTGTGCCAGCATTGACAATTTTCGTCAGTTTTCTATTAGAAATATCGCGTTTATATTTTGAGGTTATGTAAATCAAATTTAAATAACGTCAGACAAAAATAATCATTCTACCAACATTTTTTTTTAATATAAATTTCAAAGCACACTTACCAAGTTCTTTTTTTCGATCATATGGTACGTATTTTATAGTTTTTTTGTGCGAATCACTTCTAAATTGGAGTGTTTATATTATTATTTTGAAATAAGTGTGACTATTAAAATAGAACAAGTAAACTGGAGCACATATGTCAACCATGGTCTAATTTTAAGAAAAAATATTTTTCAAAATTGATACAAAAATAATAAAATAAACAAAAATATCCGCGCAATTGCATATACATTCAGCGAACTAATCTCCATATTCATTTATCGATTTAATTGTTTCTTAAATTATTTATAAAGTAAAATATTCATTCTTCATTTGTGTTTTATATTAGCAAATATTATTAGTACTTGGAATTTATCTTCTTTTGTCTTTATAAATCGATTCGACGGATTTTAATAGTCTTTCAGAAGCTGATTCTGTGGGGTGTAGTGTAAAACATATTTCTCAGAATAGATGTAATAATAATTGATTTCCCGTTTCATACGTCTTAAAGGACATATCAAACTTCCAACTATGCAATAATACACTGAAAGAAGCAAATAAAAATTCCCCTACATACGTAAAACATTTTTTAACTAGTGAAATTTCTCAGAATAATAAAATTTAGACCACATAAAATTTATTATGAAATGCGGCCGGCGAATATACAGGGTGTCCAGTTTGTCTGCTTCGGAAATGACATCACTAAGACACCCGGTCTTAGTACAGTTTTCCCAAACAAGAGAACACAATATTATACACTACATTCAGAAAATATGAAATAATTTAAATGCAAAATTAAAACTTACACAATACGTGTTTTTACGAAAATAGATTTCCACAGTCTTTTTTGAGTTGGTAAATCACAATTATCGAACGGTGTTTTTCCAGCAGCACGGAAAACTTCCGTAATTAAGTATATCTGGAAAAACCAATTTGAAAATTCAGAGTAATTAACTTCCTGCCAATCATGTTACAAAAGGGGGAAAAATTGTATTTAGAATGTTGTTGAATTACCCAACGGATTTAAAGCTGCTTCCTAAAACTCTGTACCATTATGGTGTAAATAAATAACAAAACGTTTCATTCATTCAGTCGCTTTTGGATAATCGCAATCAGTGGGGTACTGCAAGGAAATATTTTGGCTCCAATCATTTTTTTAAGATATGCAAGTGACTATCGATTTTGTTTCATGGATTGATGATTTTGGCTTGAATTAATTAAACACCAAGTACGAAAAAAAGGTTTATGAATAAATAAATAAGACATTAAAGTTAATGAAGATAAAAACGTTGAGATTTTTTTAGCCAAACTAGTTAATTAAAACCGATAGAATCGCTTATATCCTGTCATCGATTGTTCGCACTTTGCTGTTCAAACTAAAAACAGACGTAAGGTATTTCAAGCTGTAGGTATGCGCAATGCATATGAAATTAATAAATATAGTTAGTCACATTTTCTCATTACGTAATTAACACGTAGTTTTAAGAACTTGACCTCTGCTGTTGTGCGTACATGGAAAACGAGTAATTGCGGCGGTTAATTATATTATTAAAATCAATTTTTTGTGGAATTTACTCAAGTGGTTGCAACAAATTTTTAAATGTGTGATAATTCGTACGATATTGTTACTAATTTCTTCAGTCAACAAAGCCTACATCATTATTAACTGGTTGTCGCTAGCGTTCTTAAAACCTAGTTCCGTCAACTTGTCCTACAACCTATTCAAAACCCTTAAAAACCCACGATACTTACGAAAACTAACCATTCCATTTCCGTTAGTGTCGAACAATTGAAATGCAGTTTTGTAAAGGGCATCCGGAAAGCACAGCAGCCCTTCGAACGCTTGAAACTCCGGGTACGAAATGAGTCCATCTTTGCTCGTGTCGACGATTCCGGCCAGCAACCCCACCGAGTGTGCATTGTAATTTTCCGGTCCGAACAATCCCAGATATTTAATAACGAAATCCTCCGCAGTCATAAACTTCTCCCCATTCTTCTCTTTGGACGCATATTTGTCGAAGATATCCCGCAAGTGGTCCGGATTGGCTCGCTTCAGATATCCACCACCCTGCAACAAACCAAGAGGTTAAACCCTTGCCCTTGATGCCAAAGGAGACGTTTCAAGGGTACGGAAAAGCACGTTTGTCAACACACTTAAAAAATTCGTGATAGTACCTTTGTAACTGACCTCTGCAAGCAACGTAGTAGCACCGATTCTCGACATTTCAACTTGGACCGAGAAATTCCAGAAAAAGCGACCGCACTCACCGCCACACGAATAATAGGAAAGTTGAAAAATATTAAGCACTAATTGTACGTCACCGTGGCGTTTAAAAATAGGCCGAAAAATCTCAAAATGCTGAAGTGAGCGAATGGATCAACGTGTCCACCAAGTTGTCCGTTATTTTAATTTTAACTTCGGACATTGTGTATACACACACGTACGTTAAAATAACCGTGCAAAAATCGCCGATCATGTTGTGGAATAGTGTATAATGGTGGCGGATTTCGACTGGGATGCTTATTTTTAGTGCTCTAGGCAACCGCAGGATTTTATTCAACGGAGGATGACGAAACGAGCGCTGATAATTAAAACCGAAATTAGCGAATTTCCGTAAGTTGAATTTGTGTGGATTCTAACGATGAGTTTGGTACTAAATAAACATGCGCAAATGGGTTGTATAACGTCGCTGCAAAAATTGCTTCAACGTAAAATTATGTGTAAAGTACTAATTAAGTCGCGATGTGCCGTCGTTATGATGATAAATTGGACGACTTTAACCTCGAACGACCACATTGTGTTTTAATGCAGCAGTTAGGTTCATGTTTCTAACAACATAATCATCATTAGAGTGCTTAGAGTACGATATAAATAATAGAAAAAAAGTCAATGTGACATTTGGTTGTTGAGCTTTACGTTTTTCTGTGGCACGTAGTCGTAGATGTATTTTGGGTTGCCTATTAAATCGTTCCTAAATATAAGCACAATTTTATAGCGCTCTATAAATTATAACACAGCTGCGGTTCATTTTTAAAAACTGCAGAGTACACTTGCCAATCGCTTGTGCTTTCTGTTCAATACGGTTGGTAGCAACGAAATTTGACGTTTTATTGATTATTATTACATATTAATTTATTTATTAAACCGGCCACTGTGAGTTAGTGAGTTTTAATGAAAAAAAAAAAATGCTCTAAAATTATTTCACAGAACTTTCCTCGCATTTGAAGTACAGCTAAACAAATCCAGATTCTCCGAAAAATAGTTATAAAATTTAATTTTGCGAATTTTAGAGCATTCGGTTTTTTGGATATCTAGGGTAAATATTCAACACGGATTCATAAACTATTATAATGCATGTGTATCTTATTTTATAAATTTTAAATAAAATTTGCTATTATAAATTTTGGAAATGAAATCATCACCTTACTAGTGAAGACGATTAGACCAATTTTAGTTAACTTTTTACTATTTACCTAAAATATGTACATATAAAATTTTACAACAATCGGTTCGACAGTTTCGGAAAGACAGACAGACAGACAGACAGACGAAAACGGCAGACCTATATTTTCGTACTCTACTAATTTATATTGATATTAAAGGAGTATTAATATTGATAAAATGACAGTTAAACGTCTGTTCTTGTCCCGATTTTAATGCAACCAACTGTACAACTAGTTTTTATAGATGGAACACCCTATATATCTTACATACTCTAGCCTCGTTGTAGGCTTTATAAGCACAATTTAGTTTTGAAATATCGTTGCGATGTTGCCACGTTATTCCAATTTTCTTGAATTTTTAGTACGCAATAGAGTCCATTCCTTGAACAGTTACAAGTACTTTCACATTTTCTCGAAGTTTCATGACCCCTACAGTATGAAAAAATAGATCTCCTATTTCCGTCTGTTCCATCGCCTTTTAATTAGAAGATGGATAATCTCTGAAACTACTGGACTGATTGTTGTCAAATTTTATGTTTTTCAGCAATATCGTGTAGATAATGAAACGCTAACCAAAATTTATCTAATCATCGCCACCAACAATTGATGACGTCACTTCAAAATTTTAGTTTATTCGATCTTTCATGACCACTACAGCACGAAGAAATAGGTCTCCCGTTTCCGTCTGTCTGTCCGTCTTATCTGAGCAAGTACTAGCCCCGCCCGCCCACCCCTCTTTTCTCAGAGGATATGTCATTTGCCAAAATCAAACTTACCTTAGGGTGGGTGGGGAGGGCTCGTACATGCTAAGATAAGACTTATTTCGGCAAATGACATATCCTCTGAGAAAATAGGGGGCATTCTAAAAATTCAGGTTTAAAAGATTCTAAAGATTCTGAAGATTCTAGAGATTCTAGGCATTTTAGAGATTCTAGAGATTTTAGAGATTCTAGAGATTGCAAAGCGATTCTAGAGGTTCTAGAGATTCTAGAGATTGTAAAGATTCGAAAGATTCTAAAAATTCTAAAGATTCTAAAGATTCTGAAGTTTCTGAAGATCCTGATAATTCTGAAGATTCTAGAGATTGTAAAGATTCTAGAGATCTAGAGATTATAGAGATTGCAAAACGGTTCTAGAGGTTCTAGAAATTCTAAAGATTCGAAAGCTTCTAAAAATTCTAAAGATTCTAAAGATTCTAAAGATTCTGAAGTTTCTAAAAATTCGGAAGTTTCTGAAGATCCTGATAATTCTGAAGATTCTGAAGAGTCTGAAAATTCTGAAGATTGCTAAAGATTCTAGAGATTGTAAAGATTCTAGGGATTTTAGAGATTCTAGAGATTCTAAAGATTCGAAAGAGTCTAAAAATTCTAAAGATTACAAAGATTCTAAAGATTCGAAAGAGTCTAAAAATTCTAAAGATTACAAAGATTCTAAAGATTCCAAAGATTCTAGAGATTCTGAGGTTTCCGAAGATTCTGAAGGTTCTAAAGATTCTAGAGATTGTAAAGATTCTGGAGATTCTAGACATTTTACAGATTCTAGAGATTTTAGAGATTCTAGATATTCCAGAGATTTTAGAGATTCTAGCGATTCTAGAGATTCTAGATATTGTAGACATTTAAAGATTATAGGGATTGCAAAGATTCCAGAAGCTCTAGCGATTCTAGAGATTCTAAAGTTTCTAAAGATTCTGAAGTTTCTGAAGATCCTGATAATTCTGAACATTCTGAAGATTCTGAAAATTCTGATGATTCTAGAGATTGTAAAGATTCTAGGGATTCTAGACATTTTAGAGATTCTAGAGATTTTAGAGATTCTAGAGATTCCAGAGATTTTAGAGATTCTAGAGATTATAGAGATTGCAAAGATTCCAGAAGCTCTAGCGATTCTAGAGGTTCTAGGGATTCTAGAGATTTTAAAGATCCTGGAGATTCTAAAGTTTCTGAAGATTTTGATTACTTTTAATAAGGAATTCTAAAGATTTCTATGATTCTAAGTATGTAAAGGGCTGAAAATTAAAAAAAAAACTGAAGATTTTGAAAATTCCAAAGATTCTAGAGATTATAAAGATTCCAGATCTTCCAGAGATTCTAGAGATTCGGAAAATTCTGAAGATACTCGAGATTCTCAATATTCTAAAAATTCTGACAATTAGGAAGGTTCTAAAGATTTCAGAGATTCTGTGTATTCCAAATACTGAAAATTCCTAAAAATGTGAAGACTAAAGATTCCAGAAGTTCCAGGAAATTCAGAAATTTCTAAGATTCCAGATACTCTGCGATTCTAAATATTCTAAAGATTCGAAAAATTCTGAAGATTTTGGAAATTCTAGAGATTTTGAATGGAGATTGAAGGTTCTGAAAATTATGATGACTCTAAATATTACAAAGATTCCGAAAATTCTGAAGATTTACAGTATCTGTAAAATTAAAGATTCAAAACTATCTGAAGATTCCGAAGAATCCAAAGGTTTCGGAGATGCCAGAAATTCGGGATATCTGTCTGTCCGTCTGTCTGTCTTATCTGAGCAAGTATTAACTCCGCCCGCCCACCCCTATTTTCTCAGAGGATATGTCATTTGCCAAAATAAAACTTATCTTAGCAAGTATCCTCTGAGAAAATAAAGGACGGATGGGCGGAGCTAGTACTTGCTAAAATAAGTCTTATTTTGGCAAATGACATATCCTCTGAAAAAATAGGTGGCGGGTGGGCGGGGCTAGTACTTGGAATGTACTTGGTAAGATAAAACTGATTTTGACAAATGACATACCCTCTAAAAAAATAAAGGATGGATGGGCAGGGCTAGTACTTGCTAAGATAAGACTTATTTCGGCAAATGACATATCCTCTGCGAAAATAGGGGGCGGGTGGGCGGTCCTAGTACTTGTTAAGATAAAACTGATTTTGCCCTATTAATCTTGTAAAAACTTGTGAAATTTAAAGGTGTTAAATTGCAAATTTCCATAGTAATGAGTTAAATGACTCAAAAAAATTAATGAATGTATCAATTTAAGTATTTTATTGATTAAATCAGGAACGGCTCACTACATTTTCGCAGAAAATTTTGGGAATACAAGACTGTTATTTTTAGTATTTTTAATGCATAATATTTTTAAAATCTTAAATTCTACTACTTGTCAAAATAGAATTCAATTCCCATTTTACAGTAAATTAAATAAGTCAATGAAAATAAATATCTATATTTGAAAACAAAACTGTAATATGTATGTAAAAGCTTAGAAAAAGGCCAATGAGAATTCACAAAAAATAGGGTGTCCTTTTTAAAAAAAACTCAGTTGTGTAGTGTCTCAAAAATAGAACACTCTGTATAGTAGAAAATAATTTTTATGTATGCTACTCAAAAACCGTATATTAACGTCGGTCTCTCACTTGTTTTTTATTTTCAATAACCAATGAGACATCGAGGAACGCGCGGTTAACGACTCACCCTGTATATCAACACGCAATCGAAAATACAACAAATTAGAGTTGGCTGTGAAACCCGTTACACAACTGACCAAAAATCGTTCTATCATCTGTCAAAAATTAAACCACGTGGCATGAAGCCGGTTCTACAACATATTCTAACATCAAAATCAGAATTGCCAACGTAAAAATTTGCTTCAATCATTTGTGTTTTTTTCTAATTAGTGATAACAAATTACGTCGTTTTCAAGAATCTCGTTCTTTATTACTTTAAAAACGGCAGGTGTTTTTCGTACTTCTCTTTATTTTACTACCGTAAATTTAGCATCCACTCAATATAGATTTTTGCGCAGGCGGTTCATGCGACTTTTACGTGATCAAGCATCTTTTCGGCAAACAATAAATATCTAAAATAAAATTCTTATTTGAACGTAATGAACTAATAAATAAACCATTAACCTTGGCCAATTTTTAAGGAAATACATCGAAAAAAATATCTCTGCAATACAATAATAAAATCACGTAATCGACACGTGAAAAATGAATCAACCGTTTTTATGGATACAAACACGTGTCTAAAGCTGTTCATGCGGCTTTTACGTGATTACTGTATCTAGTTTTTCTAGGTTATTTATTAAGCGTAATCTACAACATAGACACAAAATGAG